TGCAGCAAAGTAGCCTGGAGCAGTAGGGCAGGGGCAGCCTGCTGAGAAAAGCAGAGAAAGCCAGACCTCCTAGAGCAAGGAGGGGTTCACTGCAGACAGTGAGGATTCCTGACTGCCACTGGGCCAGCTGTAGGCTGTAAAGTAAGCCTTAGCCAGGGGTTAAAATAAAACAGTGTGAGGAGATAGTGGGTGCATTTACGCGTGTGCTTTACTGAGGGGTTGACTAATTAGCTCTGCAGTAAAGCATCACCATATTAGGATGTAGTAAATTAATTAACTCCACTGTAGGATAGTACTATCCGGGACAAGTACTATCCTATGGCAGAGTCATTTCGTGCGCTGAAACACATGTAGACAGTGATCTAGGCTGATTGGGGCCCAAGGATGCTACAGTGTAGGGGCTGCCTGCTGGCTATCCCTGCACTGTAGCATCCTTGTGCCCCAGCCAGCACCCCCAGCATCCAACGCTGCCATCTGGAGCTTGGGACTAACCCCCAGAACCCCCTGCCAGCCTGGGGCTTCTTCACCCCAGATCTAACTGCTGTGGTCCAGGGTGTACATGTATACGCTGAGCCCGGGAGTTGCTAACCCTGGCATAAACTACCCTCAACTTTATTTCTGAGTGCTAACTGCATGTGTAGATGCACCCACTGTGTAATAAACTTATGTTATATTCTGTCTTCCTCAGTTCTGTGGTAATGTTTTCCCTAATTATTGAAGTTGGGATTTTTTATCTCTAAATTTCCTGTAATTGAGTATCTCACTTTGCAGGAAGTTTGTATTCTCAAGGCCTTGGCTGACTCAGGGTCCCATCATACCCACACTTAAACAAAATTACAGATTATCCTTGCTGTGTTTGTAAGGCCTCTCCTATCAATAATGGGAACCAGAAAGTGTGCAACTCAGACATCTCAGGGTTTGAGAGGTTTATTGCTTCAAGTGTAATTGATAGTCTAGTCTAGTCTTGTAAATTCTCCTGACAAGAGGATGTCCACTGAAATCAATTCAATCCCAGAAGGGCCCCTAGCAGACTTGACACTTAAGATGCAATTAACCTGTCAATCACACCATAAATAGCAACCTGGTCACATGTTTAGGCAATTAACAGCATGACAAAATGAGAAACCAGCCATAAAAATATTCCACAAAATAAACTGACCATGTCACAGGGTATCTCCACCATGCATTCTGATGCCTGCAGCTACCTCCATGTTTGGCAGGCTGACAACTCATCAGCTGGGTTGCATCCAGGTTGCAAGGAGTTGCAGGGCTCAATGTGACCCAGCATGGTGCTTGCTTTGTCTCACAGCTCCATCTGGGGCTGAGCAGCAAGTCACATTCTGGTGCTGGGTCATGGGGAGCCTCAGGGTGCCTGTAATCCCACAGGTTGTCTATTTTTCCCTGCCACTCCCAGGAAGCTGGGAAGCATGGCACTTGACATCCCAGACACAGGGACCCCAGGGTCATGGACAGATTCCTTGATCCCAACGTCCCTGTCATTTTCTAGTTTATTCACTTTATCCCATTGCAATTAGTTTCCTACTGTTTATTTTGTTACTAGAACTAAAGAGGTGTTATCAGGGCAGCAAAAGTTTCTGTCACTATTGAAACAATTACTGTAGAATCACTATATTGTCCCTATGTATTCCACTTTTCGAATACCTGTGTTTGATATCTGAAACTTGTGACCAATGATATGTATTGGCCCATGTCTGCAGCTCATGAACAAGGCATTCTAAAGTAATGGTGGAGCAGAGGCAACTGTCCATTAGTTCTTTCATCCAGGTGTTTTTTGGGCTAGTAGGGAAGGAGATCAGGTCATGGAGTATATATAGAAAATACATCTTGAAAAGCACAGTTAACTTTAAGTAATGGTTCTTTCTTCTTCGAGTGATAGCCCATAAGTATTCCATTTTTGCTGATTCACAAACAGTAATCTTAAGTACAGGAAGTGAATATTCAGAGTCTAACTAAATAATGACTGTGAGACAGCTGTGCCAAAGCAGCTGTCTGATTTAGATACTTCTAACAGTGGAGCCAGAGCGGAATGAAGCACTGTCAGTAGAAGTTTTATCTAAAACCAGAGAATCCTTGCTGCCTGAATCTAAAGTGGGTCTCACCGGTCTATTGTAAAAGAGAAGCTACAAGTGAGTTTTCCTCAGCTTCTGCATTTATTTTGAAAGCTTCCTATGAACTAAATATTTGTTGGTTTTATATATATAATAGGATTCTAAATATCCATCTGTGAGGGGCATAGCTGCCTTACAAACACAACAAATGGGATGGTTGGTTCAGTTATGACTGAAACCCCATACCAGGTATGAAAAATGGAAAGAACATGTGAACAAAACCCCATCAGCAGACCAAAGCCACCTAGTTAACCAGAGAACTACTGTGAATACCAGACTTTTCTACATGGGGACACCCAGGAGAATTGATATGAATCAACTAAAAGTGCAAAGTCAATGTATGCAATTTAGTGTGACAAGGATTAAGCTATAGATATTTAAGGCACCTTCATAACTAAATGAGCAACCGCATAAGTACTTAACACACTTTAACTTATGTGTGTTAATTGTACAACTTTATTTGATTTGCCTTAACTTTTCTGATTGTCCCTGTGTAGATAATCCCTTAAACTATTTATAAAGCTAAACAATAGGAAGAGACACAAATAGTGCATACAGTTCCATCTTAGTCATGAGTTGTTAAAAAGAATTGAGGAATAACTGGATTTGCTCTAAATTATTATTCTATAAAGGGGAAAACATGAGGGAACTTGGGGCATAACTTCAACCAATGGACACTGTTGGCTAAACCATTCCAGTTCCAACAGCATATGTAAGTGGAATGTGTATGAACAACTGCTTAAAAAGAATTATTCTTAAATGCCTAATTCTGGATTTACCCACTCCCTACCTGATTTGCTCCATTCGACTGTATTTTGGCTTGGAGTGAAACATGCCACTTCCACTGTAGGACAGTATTTGGAAATCTGTATTTCACTTGTAATTTTTGCAGTAAGATCTAAAGAAAAAAAATGCTACAAATAGTAACCATCTAATTTTATTTCTTTCTCAAAACCTTGAATGTTTCTTTATTGACCTCTGTTGTTAATTGACTTCACCAGGATGAAGGACTGCAATTACCATTAGTTACCAGGTAAACAGTAGGTTTTCATAAGAAGTGACAATTGCCATAAAAGACTAGATGGACCTCTGGCCTGATCAGGTACCAGTGTGGCAATGATTAGTACCAGAAACTTCAGAAGAAGATGGAACAAACTCTGTATAATTTAGATGTGTCTGATTTGACATTTGTCTGACTTGCTGCTAAAACAAGAACCTGGCTGGGATGTATTCATGAGTATAATGGTGCTAGGAAAACCCTCAGGTGCTTGGCTAGTAGGCATTGTTCATGTGCTCAGGGTTAAAGTGATTGCCACATTTAGGATCAGGAAGATTCCTGCAGGTCAGATTAGCAAGGGCTACTGGGTTTGTTTTTTTGTTGTTGGTGGTGGGTTTTTTTGCCTTTACTACTATAACTTTTAAATATTCTTGATATAAATGTATACTGCTTTTTAGAAATATGGACTAAATAATGGACTAAATATGGACTAAATAAATAATACCCTATGACAATAAGTTCTACAAGCTCATTTTGTTTTGTGTGGCTAATTATTAGCTTTGGATTTGTCACCTCCTTGATTTCATTTAATGTTTTCCTGTCCTTACATTTTTATAAACTGCCAACACTAGTGTTTTAAACTACCAATCCAGAACTTAGACTGATCTCGTTGATTTCTGTAATAGCCCCATATCACAAGATGAGTTTGAATCTGTTGTGCATATTATTCTACCTGAGTTTCAAGACTGACTATATATTAGCTCGCAGCAGAACAAGTCTGTTAACTCAGAAAAGGACAGATTGTTGATCTTGAAAGTGGTGGTGATAGAAGCCGTGACAGGCTCTTTCCCGGGACTGTATAAGATGAGGGAGTTCCAGTCTTGTATGACTAGGGTAGGAGTGAAATGGACTACTGAGTCAGGTTCTATGGATTACTGATGAAGCTAGTTCAGCGCTCTCTTCCCTTCTCCCCACCCCAAACAGGAGGCCACAGGCAACATCATGTGGCACATGAGCCACTGAAGTCATAAACAAGGTCCAGAGTTGAGTGGAACCCAGCTCAGGTCTAGACCTGAGTGAAAATATGGAATTTCTCTCTGCCTTCCATTGCTACAGCAATATTGGCGTTCCCAGTACAGTATGGTCAGCTTGCCGTGAGCATGTTTAGTTCTTTTAACAGGCTGCCAAGCTTTTAGTAAAGAATGAAGGTTAGAGAAGAAAATGGTAATTTCTAATACTTTAATAGTAAAAGCTGAATAGAATTTCAAGGGACAAAGGAAAAGATACTTCTACAGCCTGAGGGTCATTCTCCTTCTGATTATCAAAGGTCCATTGTAAAAGCTGGCAGTAAGAAAGCTTCCCAAAGAAAAACTCACAAGAAATTGTAATTGAAAGTATCAGGCAATCTAAATAAAGTAGGTGCAATCAGCTCCCCTTTTAACTGCATGACATCAGCAATTTATATGCTGCGACTGTGCTGCATATATTATTGTAACCTAGTTTGGGATGTCTTTCAAAGTAAGATTAATCTCAGCTGGCTAACATACTTAATTCAATGCTCACAGTATTCATGAGAGAGCAGGGATTAGAATTACTCCTTCAACTCATTTAGCGATGTCTGCTTCGGAGATTACCGCATAGGCCTGGATTGAAGTATACTACCTACAAAAGATCACTTATTTTTGTTTGTTTATAGAGAACCTTTAATACTTTGAAATTTTGATAAAGCATATTCCATAGTTTCATATGCAGAATGGGACTTGCTCTCATTTGGTTTACACAAACATAAATCTTTAATTGAAGATAAAAGAGTACACAGTCTTTGTAAATTAAAGAAGAATCCAGCCCACCATTACCAAGAAACAAATCCTCACCTTTTCCAGTGCTCTCATTCACTATATCTTCTGGAGTTAAGTTTAATAAATTTTTCAGTTCTAAGTATGGTGGAATCTCAGCTTTCTCTCTAAAGTTGTTTGATTTGTTGGATTCTAACATAACAGGTAGCATTAGTGACTGAAAAAAATAATAAATAGAGTAGATCTGGTTAGGAAAGTTCTAAATTAGATTTTTTTGCCTTAACTATTTAATCCTGATTTTTTTTATGTTTAAATAGTTTGCAGAATTTTAGACTGAAACTGGTCTAAGATCTTTTAACAAAGAAAGCAGACACAATGTTATATAAAAAATAGAATTCAATTGGTGGCAAAACTATTCAAATTAAAATGAGTAACTTATTTGCATACTCTGTGGGAAAAAAACAAGTCAAATGTTATCTTTACAATAAAACCACAGGCCTGAGCATACTGTTCTCTGCTCCCCCGTGTGCAATGTATCAATTGCATACATTGATGCCCGCCATACACTTCCCAGCAGTGCACTCTGCTGTGAGTGAGTGTGCAGTTGCACAGATGCAGTTGTGCTTTGTAGCCCGCCTCATCTCCTCCACTTCTCCCACTCCCAAGACTGGCAGGAAGGGCCACAGGAATGGCCACTAGCATGTGAGACCCTGCAGGAGCAACCTCAGCAGCAGGCTCTGCTCTTGGCCCCTAAGTGTGCAGGAGGGAACAGACAATGGAAAGAGCAAGGCACAGCAGGTGAAGTCCTGCCATGCCACCCCCAAGTGGCACCAGTTCGATCAGTGATTCTAAGTTTTTTAGCCTCAAGGCCCTCTCCATGTTCTGAATTTGGATATGTGTTGGTGTTTTTTTTCAACTGGGATGCCATGAAATTCAGAAAAGTTGAGCGGGGCCTTGAGGCTAGAAAGGTTGAGAGCCACTGGCATAGAGACTAATTCTTTAATTAATTATACACTTGGCGTGTGTCTACATGAGACATTTACTGCAGAGTTGCCTAACTAGCTCTGCAGTAAATGTCTTGGTGTCTATACATGCGGCCCTATTAGGCTGCAGGAAACTAATAATCTCTGCAGCAGGGTAGTACTTGTAAACACAAGTACTATCTTGCTGCAGAGTTTTTTACTCTGCAGCACCACAGGTGTAGATGCTGATGTGGATGGCTGGCTGGGACATGAGGGTGCTTCAGTGCGGGGGCTGCCTGCCAGCTAGCCCCACGCTGGAGCACCCTCATGCCCCAGCCAGCCCACCCGTGTTGATCCAGGTCAGAGCAGCCCCCAGCTGCCAGGCTGAGCACCCAGACCCTTGGCAGCTGGGGCTGCTCTGACCCAGTTTAATGTGCTGTGGTTCTGGGTGCACATTCAAATAGCATGCCCAAGAACAACAAATACTGGCACAATAAGCACCGAAATTTATTGCTCCACATAAATTCTGCATCCAGTTCTGCGTACCACACTTTAACAAGGTCGTGGACAAGCTTGAGAGAGTCCAAAGAAGAACCACCGATATGATCAGAGTCTTAAAAGGCAAGACATACAAGGAAAGGTTGAGGGATCTGAGACTCTTCAGCCTGAGGAAAAGAAGGCTGAGAGGGGACCTGGTAGCAGCTTACTGCTACACTACGGGAGTATATCAAGTGCTCAGTGAGCAACTGTACACCAGGGCACCCGAGGGGAAAACCAGGAGTAATGGCCACAAACTCCTGGAAAACCGATTCAGGCTCAACATTAGGAAAAACTTCTTTATAGTCAGGGTATCCAGACTGTGGAATAAGTTCCCTCCAGAGGTGGTGCAATCACCTACCTTGGAAATCTTCAAGAGGAGACTGGACGGTCACCTTGCTGGGGTCACCTGACCCCCAGTTATCTTTTCTGCTTGGTGCAGGGGGTTGGACCTGATGATCTTCCGAGGTCCTTTCCGTCTATACAATCTATGAATAAACTGCATGTGTAGACCTACCGTCAGTGTAATTTTTTTATAGTACATCTCAGCACTGGTATGATTTCCTGTGGCAGGGGAATAAAATATGCTATATGCTTTGACAAATTTATATACACCTTTTCAAGTGTAAGAGTAAAGTGTGTCAGAAAATAAGTGTGCCCTATGTAACAAAAGCTTGCGAAACACTGGTCTAGGGCCTTAATCCTGATCTCCTGTCTGCCAAATCCCCACTGACGTAAATGGAAATTTGCCAGAATAAGGACCATGGTTTTGGGAGTGTGGTTCTAGTATAAAAATAACATTTGACTTGTACATTTTTTCTTGCAACCAGCATAACATATGTAAGTGTATCATATCATAGCTGAAATAGCTACTAGGCCTGTGCAAATACGGAAGTATTCAATTCAGGTTCTGTCGATTTGGAGGACAGCGATTCGATTTGGTGATTTGAATCACTGTCCCCATTTGATTCAGCCAAATCAGAATCAGAGATTCAGCACTGATTTGGAGATTCGGATCAGCTGCGGAGAAGCAGGCACAGTTGGGAGGCTGCAGGTTCTCCTGCTGCGCCTCCAGCTGTGCCTGCCTTTGCCAGGGCGGGGGGAGCTGCAGGAGAAGCCCCCATAGCTGCCCTGCCCGGTCCCATCCCCCGCCCGGCTGCAGCCTTCTGGCACTTAACCCCCCCCCCCAAAAAACATGCACTCACCAGCTCTGGCAGTGACTGTGGGGGCTTTGGGGCCACATGGCAGAGCCCCCACCGCACAGCCCCTGCTCCCCATTGGCCCACCACCAAACCCCGCTCCCAATGTGTGCCCCGCCAGCCCCAGCAATTAAAAAAAAACCCCAAACCCCCCCAGCACTCACCAGCTGCAGGAGCAGCAATTGGGGCCTCCAAGGACTTGTGGCAGAGCCTCCCCTGTGCAGTGTGGGGCAGTAGGGATCAACCCCCCCCACCTGGCACCTGCACAGCAGCTGCCCCATGGTGTGGGTGCAGTATGACTTGCCAGAGTACCATGCACTGTCTAGGAGCTTGGGCTGTTGGGGCTGAGTGGTGCCAGGCTCCGGCTGACATATGGAGCTGCCCCAGCTCCCAGACAGCGCACGGTGCCCTGCCAAGCCACTCTGCACCCACGCCATGGGGCAGCTGCATAATCCCCGCTGCCCCATGCTGCATGGGGGGGATCTGCCATGAGCCCTCAGACACCCTGATCTCTGCTGCCAGATCTGATGAGTGCGGGGCTTTTTATTTATTTATTTATTTATTTAATTGTGGGGGCTGGGGAGCCATGGGTGGGGGGGAGATTGGGGAGCGAGGCCTATGCAGGGGGAGCTCTGCCACATGGTCCCAGAGCCCCCACAGCCACTGCCGGTGAGTGTGGGTTTGTTTTTTTTTTATTCCTGGACTGCTGGGGCTGGACAAGGGGCCATCAGGGGTGGGGGGCTCTGCCAGGAGGCCCAAGAGCCTTCACAGACCATTTTTTTTTAAGTTCCAGGACTAGGCTGGGGCTGGTTGGGGGATGGGGCCAGGCAGGGGAGCCATGGGGGGTTCTCCCCTAGCTCCCCCGAGGCAGGCACAGCTGGAGGAGCTGTGGGAGAACCTGTAGCTGCCCAGCTGATCCAAATCTCCAAATCTCTCCAAATCTTTTCTGAATCAATTCGAAGGCTTCAGCTTCATTTCAGACTTTTAAATGGGTCTCCCGATTCAATTTGGATTCAGAGATTCGGCTGCTGATTTACAATAAGAGTGTGCTGAATACACTTTTTACTTTGGATACTGGAGGTATTCAGTAGATTTAAAAAAATTAAAGGAATTCTATTAAAGTGAGCTCTAGGGGTGCCTATAGATCTGTTGCAGGGATGTTCCGATATGCTGGAATTACAGTGCATCGGAGCAGACTAAATTAATTGAGTGTGGTAATTACCGTGGTACAACCAGCCTCCACATCTCGTCTATTAGCATTCCCATGCTTCAAAATGGTGGCAGGGGCACTTGAACTAAAGCTTGTTCAACAAGCTTTAGTTCAAGTGCCCCCACTGCCATTTTGAAGTGCAAGGATGCCAATAGACAAGACACTGCAATGCTTTAATTAGAGCGGCTCTTGGAGCTACTCTAATTAAAGCACCCCCACCTCCAGAACACATGTAAAAGTGCCCTAGGTCACCTTTAAGTAAAAATGCAGGTATAGATTCTAATTAGTATATTAGACAGCAATCATTAAAATCATAGGTGTAAAAGTAATTAGTAATACCTCTGCATCCTTTAAAGATATTTGACAAAAATGCTCTTTAACTGTGTGCAGTTCCTTTTCAATCTCATGAGTTTCCATGTCACTTTGAAACATAAAACTTTCCCTAAAAGATCACCAAGTTGGCATGAGTCATACATGTAACATATTCCTGATGCAAAATGTTAACAATAGCTTTAGTGACTAATACCCTAAGCAGGGCTGTCCCTAGTGGGGAGGCCAAATCAGGGCAACTGCCCTGGACCCTGCGCTTTGGGGGGCCCTGTGGAGCCAGGTGGAGCAGCCGCGGTGACTCCGCGCTACCGCCGGCTTCACATCCGGCCACTTGGCACTCCCCCACTCCCGCCCTGCTGCCGAATCTGCCGCTGGCTTCCTTGCATCTGGGGGTGGGGCCCCACACAGGCTGATTTGCCCTGGGCCTCACACCCTGCTCGGATCACCTCTGACCCTAAGTAAATCAGAGTTGGTAGGAAGGGGCAGGTTGGCAGGATTAAAGGGGTTGGCAGGTCCATGGGTGGGGCAGGTTGGTGCGTCTGTTGGTGGGGGAGGGTTGCCCGTCCATGGGTGGGGGGTCTGAAGGCTAAAAGCCCAGTTAGGGTTGGGGTAGGGGGTAGAAAAAGCACAGCCCTGGGGCTGGGGCCAGTGACTGGGCTTTCCCAGCCCTAGGGCTGCTTTCCAAAGGTTGTACAGATGTTCACCTCCTCAGGTGATCTAATTTAGATCAGCCTGGCCATTTTTTGCCCAATCTAACCTCCCCAAACATCAATACAGACTGGCACTTAGATTGACCTAACTAAGGCTAGGTCAATCTAAGTGTAACATCTGCAGATACCCTTTGACTCTATCACTGTTACAACACTGAAACTTTGCAATCATTTATATTACTGTATATTATATAGTCTTAGAGACTAATTTTCATTTAATAGTTTTCTAAAGTATAAAGCATTTTTATGATCTAATAGTACTGAAACTTTCTTAAATCTTTTCTTTTATATATTTTTTGTGAAATTCTACATTAAAAAAGAGTGGATTAAAATAAAATTAGAAAAAGTTCTTCAAAGGTGAACTGACATTATTTTTAAATACCAAAGAAACAAAATTAAGAATCAGATTATCACTTGCCCTATGCAATAAGTGGATGCAAAAAAAACTTTCTAAAACATATAACCAGAAACAATTTCCAGTCCCCAGGATCTCAAAATGTATTACAGCTGTGAAAGGGACCACTAAATAGGCGATCTTGATCACCAATTCCTGACTCATTAGTGGAACATATCTTAAAAGAGTATATAAATCTTTAAAAATAAGAATTTCAGCATTAAACCTTTAAATTTCTTGGAAGTTTGTAAGAATAAGGTATAGTTACCACTAACTGTTCCACTGGCAGAATATAGCTTCCTAGAATTACTACCTAAATGCATGAATCAGCTAAAGGGCAAAGCCATCTGTTATGAAGGACTCCCTGTCATCTCTTGTTACAGATGCCACTCTCCTTCCCTCTCTTGCTGGCAGCACATTTTCAATGGAAACAGTTGAAAAAGAAACTGTAATGGGGCCAAACAATCTGAGATGCACATTGAGGAGCTCAGTTTGGAATGAGAGAGGATAATGCTGAAAATTCCTTCTAGTCAACATTTGGAAGAGAAAAGAAACCACACAGAAACACTTTAAGGACTAGAACCAGCAGTTGTGAACAGGGTTCTTATAACTGCTCCCCACATGCAGACGCTGCATTTTACTGGGGTTATAGTAATATTTCTCAAAATATGGATTCTAAAATAAACTGCAGAAATTGTATTTTATCAAATTTATGCGGCCGCACACTGTGCATAAGTGCATGAAAACTAAATTGATTATCTTCAATAAGACTAATCAAGTTTATAACTCAAAACTGAATTATGCTGATGATTAGATTACATGTTGGGATTAGAAATTATACAAATGACAATTGAATTGTAACTAAATTATGTATACTTCTGCTACCCGATCATGTTCTCCTAAAAATAAAGGTGCCCTTACTTTGTAAATAATATTCTATAGCATATTTTGCAATATATATGCAAGTATACTGTATTTACTCAAATATAAGATGATCCTGAATATAAGATAACCCCCAAATAATTAATTTTATACATGGAAAATCTATGAATTTGTTATAACTTTCCTAGTACAGAATCTAATTATTGGAAGTTTGCCTTGAATTTGCCCACTCACACTGCTTTAGCAGGGAAACTAAATCTGGGGGGCAGCCAGGTGGTCTCTGCCACCTCAATTTCTTCCCCCTGCAGCCTCTTCCCCCACTTAGTGTCAGATCCTATTCTTCCAGAGCACATAGAAGTGAGGGGCAAATTTGAAAAAAACTGACTTTGAAATAAACACGTCCATGAATTGATGTATTTTACTTTTTTCGAACTTGTGGCAAATTTGTGCACTGGTACTCTATAAACATGCTTTTAAGCAGCACTTTTGTACTTACTTATATATAGTACAAATTATGCATGATATTAGTCAAAAGGCTCATGATTTACCGTATAGTTCATTGGACTGGGCACTAGAAGAGTGAACAGTGTTTAAAGTCATGGTGACCCCACAGCTGAGCACTGCTCTGTATGTGTGTATACCCCACAAAGGATCCATGTGCTAATTAGCCCCCACTAGTATCTGGAATTGGGTGTTTTTGTCATGAGTCCTGGGATGCTCCAAAAATATAAATGTAGATGAGGCACAGGGCAACCTGGTCCAGCTCCACCTCACGGATGTTTGGGCCACACTAATCACATGCCACAGGCTGAGAGAGTGGGCAACAGAGGGATTCTGGGTGAACTGTTTGGGGCTCAACTGTTTTCTGATGTCTGCCAGACATTTAAGGCTGGTGAAGAAACAGGAATTACTGGACATGCAAAAGAAAGGCACAGTTCAGCTCTAGGACTGAAGAAGTCAAAATGTATTCAATATAGTAGCTCATTATGACTTTAAAAAGTGTTGGTGCTAAGCGGGGCCTGAATGCAGTGGGTACTACCACACACTGTATTCAGATGGCCTGTCCTAACCTGTCCTTAGAGTAGCTTCCTATCAGTGGCATAGCTTCTTGGCCACCTTTAGCTAAGATCAAGTGCAGTGGTCGTGCAAAGGCCTTGCATACTGCCTGAATGATGCCAGAAGCGCTGGGGGGATAGTGCCGGAGCACTGGGATGGAGAAGGAAGAGGAGTTCTCGGAGCTCGGAACAGCATTGGTGGCGGTTTTGGGAAGGAGAGTGACAGTTATGGAAGGGAAAGTGGACCAAGAGATGAGAAGTGAATTGGAGAATGGAAACAAAGATTCAGAGTCTGATGCAGGATGGACAAAGGTGGGGAAGATGGGACAGATAAAGGTAGGAAAGAAAGGTGTGGTGGGATCGGTGGTTTTGAAGGAGGCTTTATTGAAGGAAGCAATGAGGGAAGAGCCCAGTGGGCAGGAAGAACAGGAGAAGAGGAGGTCATGAGAGAGAAACTAGGAATGAAACAGTCATTGAAGGGAAGAGGAAGACTAGTGGGAGGAATAAACTAGAACTGCAAAGAGAAAAGATGGGAGGAAGTGAGAGATGGAGTGGCAGGTAATCTATGTCTGAGAATAAGAGCAGTAGTAATAGACACAGGAGAACAGAGAAGTTGGAGAATGAACAGATATGAATTTATAGAAAAATATTGTTTGAAATTTTGGATGTTAAAGCAAAACATTTGAATAGCCTGGTTGTCTTTCTTGAAGTCTTGAATTTCATATTGGAGCCGAGAAGGTTATGAGGATTTTTGGAAGACATGTGGCAGTAGGTGAGGGAGAAGAACTTGAGGGGATAAGTTTTATTGTAGGAGAAAAGACGAGAGAATGGACAATAATTGTTTGAATGTAAATGGACATGCCTGAAATGGAGAAAATAGAGAAATGGTTGGAGAATCATGTACAAAAAATTTAAGTATGCTGAGAAGATACATGATTAATACGGTATATGGATGGGATAATGAAGAGTTGGGGTGGTAATGAGGTTAGATAAGAGGAGGTCTGATGGGATAATGCACTTAATGTCAGTAATCCAAGTAGGGCCACACTGGGGGTTTACAATATATTTTGGACAGTTTAAACTCTGTAACAAGCGTGGGCATGAAGGATACCTGGATGCATACTGCTGGTATACAATAATCTACAGATGTGAAGGGAAAGGGCACAGGGTGGCAGACTGCCAAGAAGTATTCAAGTGTGTTATTTGCAGGGAAGAGGGGCAGTTACAGTGTTGATGCCCGTGATCCTGCAGTCTGCATGATGTTGTTCCTCTTGAATGAATTACCTAGGTGTTGTTCCTCACTAGGTGTAACTTCTGGCTCTGCTCCTAGGGCCTGGGCTTATACTGAGGCTGCCCAGCCCTCCTTCAATCCGGTGGGCCCCTTTCGGTCATGTGGCCATCTAATTGGTCCAGACCTCACCTGCCGGCTGCTCAACAACCTGCTCAAGCCCCTTAAAGTGGCAGGTACCATATAATCTCTGGATTATATTTGATACAATAAAATGTACGTGGGCAAACACCAGAAGAGTGACAGTTTAATTTCTGAAAGAACTGTGGGACCCTGGTCTACAGAATCTGGGCTTGCTGACAACATTGTTGGGGATGAATTCCTGGTCTCCATTAATTCAATGTCAGTTTTGTTATTGGTTTCATTGGGCACTTTTCTATCTGCTCCAGAGCTGGGGGAGGAAGGCGGGCTTTAATTAGAGAGGCTCTGTTTAATGAGCTTTAGTTCAAGTGCCCCTGCCACCATTTTGAAGTGCATGGATGCGGACATGCACAGTAATTACTGCGCTCCAGCAGACTTAATTAATTACTGTGCATCAGAGCAGCCCCACATCACATGTACAGGCAACAGTTGGGACGAGGATTTTGTCCCTGGACTTTTGATGGGACAAATTCTGCCCATTGTACTCACAGGAAATTTTGACTAAGGAGGATTAGATTGTTTAAAGATTAACATTATTTCAACATTCCAAGCTGTAGTAAAACCCCCAAGTACAATTAGATATTGAGAATGGCAAAAAATCATGTCAGTTGATTTTGTGTATTCTCTTTAATACAGGATGTAACCTCCATCCTTACCTCCATTCTTACTTCTAATGCAAAGGAATTGTTTTTTTTAAAAACTAATTAGATATCTTAATTCTTTGCAACTATAAAGGCATTTCAATAGATCAAAATGCATAATAAAATAATAGGAGTTAAGATGTTAAAGGATAATATCAATCACATGTGATTACAAACATATAGGTAAGTAAATTTTGAGGTCAGAAGTATGTAACAATTTGGTAATTACTTGAAAATGTCCTCTTCTGTGAAATTCTCTTCTTTAGGATTTAAAAGAGGATCCTTGACTAAGAAAATTTTTAGTCTGCTCAAAAGTACATGTAGAGCCGGAAGTTGTTTACAATACTTTTCCAAATTATCAACGAAAACAAGTTCATCAGCAACATATAAATCTTAAAAGAAATGAGAAAAATAATAATTCAACAACAAGCCATTCAAAATAATACATTATAAGAAAAATCTGAACAGTTGTTTAAAATTGTTTGCATTATAATTTTTCATTATTGGTAAAACTCATAGAACCTTAAATCTATAACTTCTTGCTGATTGGCAAGTACTGATTTTTCCTTCCTGGGAAAAAAACGTACATGCAAGGTTCCTTTCTATTCATTTTCTCATTTGTGTATTCATAGCTTCATAGATTCTTGGGTCTGAAGGGGTGGGCCATCTAGTCCAACCCCCTGCCCCTGGCAGGCAAGAAAAGGGTCACCAACCTGGAGTCATGTGATCCCAGCCAGGTGCCTGTCCAGTCTCCTCTTGAAGACCCTTAAAGATTAGTATCATCAATTAAGTCATAAACAGTCATGGGCAACTGGTGCTGCCTTAGTCGGGGTGGGCACATGCCCCCTCAGCGATTCTTGCAACCGGGGTTGGGATGGTCCCCCTGCGGCCAATCCTGCCAACTAGGGGGGGACCCCCCCACAGCCGATTGCGAGACGGCTGATTGCTGCAGCCACTTCTGCAAGTGCAATGGCACTCCACTCCCTGGCCAGCACTTGCAGGTGGGGAAAATGGTGCTTCTATCTGCCCTTCTGCCCATCGCCTAAGTGGTGAGTGCAGCCAGTCAGGGGGTACATGGGTGCTCTCAGGGGGTGCACATGCACCCCTACGCATCACCACTGTAACCAGTAGTAATAGTTTGGTTGGGTAATGTACACATATATCATATTTACTCAATTCAAATACTGCTTGGGACTCTCTCTTGATTTACACAACTACAAGAATGCTTTGAAGATGCTGAACTAAGGGTATAAGAAAGAAGTGGAACAGCTAACAGCACACGCTTCAAGAATGAAAGATCTCTCTGATAAGAACTGCTGCTGTGTCCCAGCCATCTTGAGTAGCTGGAAGAAACAGACTCTCTCTCTTGTGGCCTATTTGATGAGAAACTATCACCTTATAGCTAATAACTGGACTTTACTTTGGTTTGGACTCATTTGACTTTGAATACTTTTAGTAAATAATACTTTGTTTGATGAGTGACAGAAAGGCTTTATGTCGATCCCTTAAGCTAGTCTGGAATCTTAGGTTTTATTTGCTAACACCCCACAACAACAATGTGCAGCCCACACAGCTGCTACAGGGGCTGAACTGGGGGAAAACAGGGAGCAGAGGCTGGAGGAAAAGGAGAGTGCAGAGGCTGAGTGGGGAGGGGGGAACAGAGGCTTGAAGGAAGGGAGAAGCCAGGGTTGTGGAAAAGGCAGGGGGCAGAGGTAGAAGGGGGGCAGGTACCAGCAGGAGGCAAGCTGCTTGACCTCCCCATGCCATCTGTCCCTCCACTGCCTGCCCCCCTGTAGCGGGTGTGGGGGGGATAAATTAAAGATGACCCTCCAATAATTAGATTCTATACATGGAAATTATAAGAAATGTATACATTTTCCACATATAGAATCTAATTATTAGGGAATCATATTAAATTCAGGGTAATCTTAGATTCGAGTAAATGTAATAAATGACACTAGCGTCTGGCTCCCATGTTTCCATTGAGAGTAATGAAGTATCTTCATCTTTATAGTAATAATGTACACAGAATACAAAACTTCCCCCCATTCTAGAAACTGAAAACAATGGTAAATGCACATTTTTTAAAAGTTTAAAAGTGGTGGTCACTAGACACCAAATCATGAACCTTATCTACTTGATAAGGTAGAATTACTCTTCCAAATGGAAGATCTGCCATGCTGTTACTCCTTTTTAGCCTGTGTGGCTAGATAACATTTGGTATCTTTCAGGTTGTTTCCAACTAATGATGGATGAATGTCTTAGATGCCTTCCTGTTTCTTTGGGTCACTAACTGGCTGGAGGGTCGCACCCAGAGAGTGGTGGTGGACGGGTCCTATTCGACCTGGAGGGATGTGGGCAGTGGAGTTCTGCAGGGCTCGGTCCTTGAGCTGGCACTGTGCAACATCTTCATCAGCGATTTGGACGAGGGGGTAAAAAGCACCCTGTTCAAATTTGAAGATGACACTAAGATGTGGGGGAAAGTGGGCACGCAAGAAGGGAGGAATAGGCTGCAGTCGGACCTAGACAGGTTACAGGGGTGGGCGGATGAGCACAGGATGGGTTTCAACACTGACAAGCGCAAGGTACTGCAGCCGGGGGTGGGGGGAGAGAACCAGCAGCATATCTAAAGGCTGGGGAACTCCCTTCTTGTCAGTACAGAGGAAGAAAAGGATCTTGGGGTCATTATTGATGCCAAAATGAACATGGGCCAACAGTGTGGGGACGCGGTCAGGAAGCCGAACCGTACCTTGTCATGCATCCACAGATGCATCTCAAGCAGGTCCAAGGAGGTGATCCTCCCCCTCTATGAGACACTGGTCAGGCCGCAGTTGGAGTACTGCATCCAGTTGTGGGTGCCGCACTTCAGGAGGGGTGTGGACAACATGGAGAGGGTCCAGAGGAGGGCCACTTGCATGGTCAGGGGGCAGCAGGGCAGGCCCTACGAGGAAAGGCTAAGGGACCTGAGCCTGTTCAGCCTCCACAAGAGAAGGCTGAGGGAGGGTTCTAGTGGCCATTTACAAACTAGTCAGAGGGGACCAGCAGACACTGGGGGAGTCCCTGTTACCCCGAGCACTACCAGGAGTGACTAGAAATAATGGTCACAAGCTGCCAGAGGGTAGATTCAGACTAGACATCAGGAGGTGCTACTTCACTGCCAGGGCAGCTAGGATCTAGAACCAACTTCCAAGAGAAGTGGTGCTGGCTCCTACCCTGGGGGTCTTTAAGAGGAGGCTAGATGAACACCTTGCCGGGGTCATTTGACCCCAGTACTCTTTCCTAACATAGCAGGGGGTCAGATTTGACGATCTGCTCAGGTCCCTTCCAACCCTACCAACTATGAAACTACTTACTGCAACCTATGCCATATGTAGATGGCTGACCAGGAGCAAATGTGCTCCTGGTCAGCAGGGTGCAGGAGATGGCTCCCTGCCCCCAGGAACTGCCTGCTGCTAGGGAGGGCTCTGCCACAGGAGCCAAGGCAGGGATGATGTCCCCCTGGCCCAGCAACAGACAGCTCCCAGCCCCTGCTTCAGAATCGCGATCAGGGAGTGGGAGTGGGAGCTGAGACATTCAGCCCGATTTCAGAGTAAGAATTCTGAATAAGTATCTCCCAGCCTGGGCCTTGTGATGGTGGAAGTCAGGCTGGACAATTAGAATCTCCCATTCCTGGCCCCATGATCATGGAGCAGGGGCTGAGAGCTCCGTGCTGCCAGGACAAGGGGACATTGTCCTCACCTGGGCTCTAGTGGTGGAGCCTGCCCTGGCAGCAGGCAGCTCCTGGAGGCAGGGAGCAATGTCCCAGCCCCTGCCAGGAGACAGCTGTTTCCTGGCCTGTGCTCCCTGCTAGCTCCTTGTCTAGCAACCAGGGGGAGTCTAGAGCTCCCCCTAGCAACTGCAGGGAGCCAGTGCGGGGCTGGTGGGGGTGGGAGCAGACTGCTGCCATGAGAAACAAATTTGCTCTCTTGTCCTTGCACTTGTAGATACCTGCCCAGGGTAGGTTTACTCTACAGAAAATAACTCTCCAGTAAACCTACCCTGGAGCATTTGCACTTGTAGATGTGCCCACTGTGTACATAAGTGATTATCATTCAAGGTGCCACAGTACCCTGGGGTGCCTTGAGCCAGTGTGCTACATAATGTTACCACTGCTAGGTGTGGAAACATGATTCACAAGATAAACCCAGAGATTTAAAATAGGAATCCATAGTGTTAAAACATTTTGACTTGAGGTCTTTCTGAATTATTTGCAACAGAAGAATTGTTTCATTATTTTTCTGTAGTCAAAAAATTTGTGAAAACTGAGAGCTGGCATTTTCCCAGTGGTGCCTCAAGTCTTCTGAGAGGTGCCTCAAGTCTAAAAAAATGTTGAGAACCACAGCTGTATTATCTTATGTGGCAGTAGATAAAAGCTAAACTATGGTAGTTTAGCACCCACTGAAAAAAGCAAATAGTTCACATAACCTGTGGCTCATTGTTGGACCTTTTGCTTCCAAACTTAGCTTTTCTAGAATGCGCTGAGATGTGAAAAGCAAGATACTTAGCAGTAATTTTAAAATTCAGTTGTCAGTCTTGTACTTACACATTAGAACTTTACTAATCCTTCTTTTCGATTATTTCCCAATATAAACATATTGCAATCAAATTTTATTTCATTTGAGACCCAGAATGGATCCTATGCTTAAAAATCATCAAAATACATATCTGTGGGAGAACATGGTTAAGATTACCTATGTTAAGAGGCAACCTTAAGTGGCGATTCATGCCATTTCTTGATTCATGAAAATGTAATCATGCTATCTTAATTGTGGTTAGTTTACAGAATTATAATTTAAGTTCAATATCATGCACACTTTGTTCCTCATTCAGCAGTCCATGCTTATTCATTATTTACAGATCTACTTAAGTTGTGGCAAGTGAAAGGGATTTCCATGGGCTGCTCATGGAGCTGATTTCATGGCTTTTTCATGGTTAGCCAGCCCCTCACTGCTAACTGGCTTAGAGGATGTGTGGCCCCGTCCCTTGCTGGTGATTGTCCTAGATGGCTGTCCATTATGTGGCCCCATCCCCCATCGCTGATTGGCCAAGAGGGGTGAGGCCATACAATGTGCAGCCTTCCCAGCCATCAGTGGCCAAGGGCGTGGCTGCCACCTTGGCTGCTCCCCTTCATGCCGGCATCTCCTCCCCCGCCACCCCGGTGGGCTGCAACGCTGAGCTGCAGCTGCCATGAAGACCACTGGCTTCTGCTGGGGAGCCAGTATTTTATTTTTAGTAAGGTTTTTGTTTTGTTTTTTGATTTTGCAGATTTCACAGACAATGCTCAATTTCACAGTTTCTGCAAAATCATGAATTAAGTAGGTTCCTACATATAAGCATAAGTCCAGCTGCTTTCAACGGAACTTGACAGAACTTAAGCATGTGCTCAAGTGCTTTGCCAATTAAAGGCAGATTTAAAAACAAATTTAAATTGTTTACTGAACTTGGACCATTAGCATAATTGTTGTGGAACTGGATCCTAATGGGGTTGAATGGTGCAGAACTGAAAATCATCCCCATGATGACCTTGTGTTCAGAACAGACATTTTAAATGCAACAGGAAGGCTATTAACATTATAGCTGAGAAGGTATGAGTATAAGCTCACTTACATAGAGGTAAATTGGGAATAACTCCATTGAAATAAGCAGAGCTATGCAGCTATGAAAGATGACACAAGTGTGAAGAGAATCAGGCAAATTGTGTGGTGCTAGACTGTAGTTTTTACTCAAACTCAATTTCACTTGCTTTCTTTTTATATCAATTAAAATTGTGCTGCTTCATATGATTATCTCAAGCTTTAATTTGTTTGTATTTTTCATTACTTTTGACTAAAAATAATTCACAAGTCAATGTCCATAAATTTTTTAATTTTTGAGTAATTTGCTGTGCTTGGCATCATAAAATTGATGTTGAAAATGTTTATTTTAAACTAGTATCTTCAAAACATGAATAGGCCTTTTACCAGTCTAAAATATTATATAGATATTTTTCATATTAAAACAGTTAAAATAAAATTATTACAGAAACCCATTCTGGTTTATGAAAGGTGGAATAGGATTAAAATCAGAAAGATACCGATAAATCTTTAACATGCACAAATAGGTAGAGAAGGAGTGCTGTATTAAAATAAGTTTTTTAGAAATAAATCTTTGCCTTACTCTGAATTGTAAATTCAAAATGTCCATTCAAAATCCATCTCAGGTTCTTTTTTAATTTGGGACTGTGCATTTAAAAATGTTAGCAGTCTCTTTAATAAGACAGTAATGAATTAGTTTGCAAATCTTTCCAATATTTCAAAAGGGCAAGGAAGGTTGTTTATTACAATGAGTCAAAAGGAAAAGGGTTTACACTTCATAATTAATTGGCTTCTATTTAAGATGCTTTCTTAGAAACAGCAAAAACTGAGATTTATGTTCTCTCTTTTGCAATAGTACATAATTTACTGGGTAGAGGTTACACATTGATAAATGCTGAACTGCTAATTAAGCAATTGATTCAAGAAAATATAGAAAAAAAAATATGATCCTCTCTCTTTGGGCTCTCTATTCATTTTTGTATAAGGAAAGGCATCATTCTCCTTTTACATTTGCAGTTAAGAATAATTTTAAAAATATTTTCTAAATCTAAAACTTTTCTTTTTTTTCTCTTTCACAGACAGTTATCTATGAAAATCTAACACTATTAAAATCATTTTAATAGTCAAAGAAACAGCCAGGTAAAATTTTAAGTGACTATTTTGCAGAACAAGTGGGTAACCTCTCCTTACATTCCTATTAAGTATGTAATATATACTGAAATGTATGAGTAAATTCGACCTTAAACCACTCTAAATATTCTTGATATAGTATTTCTTATATATGTCATCTAACCTTAAGCAAATACTTATTTTTTTTTAAGTACACCTTCACAATGTTTTAATTTTATCAGGAGAATAAAGATTAGTGTACTTTCAAATATTAACCACAACACGCTTGCATTATTGATAGGAATAGTACATTTCTTATTAAACTGTATCTAGTTATCTTGTACAATGCTGTACCAAGAGCTAGTCAGGTCCTATATGTGACTGGGTCAAAACTCCTTGGAACTGGTCAGATTGTTTAACTTTGTTAAAGCAGCAAAATTCCAGTTACTGGTTTGGATTGTATTCAAAGGCAAAAAGCTGTGATAAAAAAAAACTTTTAGTCAATCTGGAACTATGCAAGTTGTAATTTCAGATCAGTTACTTTAATGAGGCCCTTACTATAATATCTGAGATTTCCTAGACATGTATCTCATGATGCTTCAAGGAATACTGTACAACAGGGGCTGTCAACAGGGGGTACGTGTACCTCTGGGGGTACTTGGGAAGGCCCCAGGGGGTACGCGGCAGCAGCACAGAGAAGCGGGGGGTCAGGGCCGCCAGCACTGTGTTGCTTGTGCTGACGCTGGCACTTTTGTTTTCGCCAGCGCTGTGTGCTGCCAGCATTTCCAGTTTCGCCCCCTTGGCTCATTGATCGGCCGCCAGGGCCCTCCCCACCCCTACTTACTGACTGGCCGCTGGGGTCTCCCTGCTTCTTGACTGGACACCAGGAGTACATCGACCAAAAAAGGTTGAAAACTCCTTCTGTACAATATCATGTACCTTTAGTGCCTTCCTGCCTCAGCCGTGTTGTGGGAACCAGCAGGTGAGTTAAGAAGGAAGTGAATCTTCACAGGCCAATTACTGGCCTGTTCAATTATTGGCTTCTTGTAGGTGCCAATTAATGTGAACTTTAGTTACATTAATACCAATTGAATTGGATTGAAAGAGTGACTGTCAGCTCACTACACATGGGACAACAAGCAGTAGCATCATCTTTCAGTCAGAAGATGATGGCTGCAATTCTGAAAACATTTGAGTTTTGTATTACAGTGAATGGGGACTACTCACATGGATGTGTATGATTAAACATGTGTGTGCTTGCAGAATCAAAACCTTGAACTTGTTTTAAAATCAGTGTCCTGGAAACAAAATTCTATGAATCAAGTAATCAATTAGTAATTATCAAGTCAATTAATTATTTGCAATTAGTAAGTTAACTACATACAATTTTGGAAAGCAATCAGTTAAACACTTTACCTTCAGCTTGTAGTTTAAGTGCTAGGAAACGGTCAAGCGGTAAAAAATTGATTTGAGTGGAATCTTCTTTCCAGTCATTTTTCATAAGCAAATAGGCTTCTTCTATGTCAGTCTGTGAATAGGGATTTGAACTTGGAACAACTTGTAGAAGTTCATTATTAATATAGGGCTTGGTGTCATAAACTGGTTTCCTTCAAAAAAAAATTTTTTTTTCAGTGTGTTCTGATACTTACACAGCTCTTTGACAACATATGTATCTAATATAAAGCCATTGCATGCTATCTTGACCCCCATATACTAAATCTCATCATTATGCAGTAGCTTATCTTGTTAAAAGAACTGTTGTAACACTGAAAGTGAACATCTCTTCCTGTGAACAGAGGAATAAGAGGAGGGCAAGAGGGGAATGGGAGGGGAGGGGATGTGCTGCACACACAGACTGGAAGAGAGGGGTGCCAAGAGTAGGGAAGGGAGGAGCTTCATACTTAATTGGACTTAAAAGTCCCCACCCTCTGCTTCCACAGCATGATCTGCCTGCAAAGGGCAGGGAGGGGGTGGGGAGGGGAGGAAGGCTGGGAGCAGGGGATGCAGTCACCCCTCCAGTGCTGCTGACTGCTACCGCACCCCCTTTCTAAAATCCTGGGTCCACCCATGTATACAGTCTTTCATGAAACGTTATTCTATAACATTAGGAGATAAATGAATTAATACTTATGAAGATATTGTTACGTTCCAAACTTCTCACAAACTATATATATATACATATATATTCTATGTGCTTTCACCAAAATTCCAACTGACTTAGATACATTTTGTCTTCTACATGGCTTACTCAGTTCTCACATCTTTTATTAGTGGTAAACTAATATACGTATAGCTAATATATTAAAATATGAGTACACATACTTATATATTAGCTTACCACTATAGCTTGTGGGTGCCGATCAAACGTTAGTTAACCTTCATGACCCCCATGTGAGGTGTTGGGATATTATTACTTCAATTTTACATACAGGAACTGAAACATAAAGAGTTTGAGGTAAAAAATGTCTTCTAATTTTGGGTGGCTAATTTGAGAAGTCTGATTTTTTTCAGATAACTTACTTTTACATCACACGGTATGTCCAAAGTCTGACTCCTACATTGCATGTTGTTGGCACAGAACTGACATTTGTGATATGTGGCTATTGGAGAACTGAAGCTGTTGTGACGTGTGGACCTCCACGGAAGCATCCAGATGAGCATGCACGGGTGTTTCCCCGGGGACAATTAGCAGTGGCACATTTGTTGTACACAGCAAGTTGCCCAGGATCAGCCCTGGGTGGTAGCAGCCTTACCTGAGGTCTTGGGAGCTTCCTGGGACTCTAACGGCAGCGATCCGGGTGCATGGAACCTGCCCAGCAACTAGAGTATGGCTTTTGCTAGCCTGGTTTTGGGTGGTGCGTGCTGCTGCCAGGTGTGCCACCCTTTTTTCCACAAGCTTTTTTTGATAGTGGGATCTCCCAGTAGTTAAATTTGGCACCACGCTGCAAATATGCAACCCAGAGCACCAAATCACATTTGTGGGGTGCATTTTGTGGTGCCTCAAAAGTCTCTGAAGCACTGCAAAACACACGTGCTTGCTCCTGTGGATGCAGCCTATGTGTACATGACTCAGTAAACAGACAAGTTACAGTATCATGCTGATTTTGCATAACAGAAGCCTTCATTTGCATCTCAAGGGGAGTCAATATCCTATGCTGAAATCTGTCCGGAAATAGATGCAGCAAGCTGCACTGGCAAATGAACGAAGTATTGAATGCATTGTTATTAGAATGTTTAGAGAAACTGAAAGACACAGTAGTGTAAAAGAAAGAAAATAAGGAAGTATCCTACTGCTAAAGGGTATGCATTAAGGCTGTGCGAAGCTTCGGGTGGTGATCTGGCCTGATTCAGTGGCTGAATCTCCGATTCCGAATCGAATCAGGGGACCAATTAAAAGGTACGAATAGATTCAAAGCTCTCCAAATCTTCAGAAAAGATTTGGAGAGCTTTGATGATTCGGACAGTCCCTGGTGGCTGCAGCAGGGAGCTGTAGCTGGTAAGTACTAGGGGCAGGGGAGGAGGGCTGGGGGAAGGTTCCTGCCAGCCCCCAATCCCCTGCCTGCTCCCCTAGCCCCCCTGATCCCCACCTGCTCCCCTAGTCTCTCCATGGCTGCCCCACCCTCCCCAGCTTCCAGTACTTTAAAAAAAAGCCCCCACTCACCAGGTGC